ACTAGATCTTCCTTTTTGTACAAAGATTCTAATGAGTAAAGGAATTTTAAGGGAGCATGAGATCTTATTCTTAGACAACAGCATAAATAGTCTGACCTAGATTAACATTTTTCTTCCCATAAAAGAGCTGGGTAAGTGTTTAATGCCTGTTCACCTTATCTGATAACCTTGCTACTCCACCCATCTGATTATATGGTTCCCATGTCTTTAGGGATAAGGGGTATGTGGGTGCTGAGGAAGGGGTTTTGCCTTTTTCTTTTCCCCTGTTTGTGTGTTTAGCTTTACAGTAAGTAGTATTGTATTAGTTACGTGTCACTATATTGAAACAGTTTTGATGAAACAGTGTTTCATTGTATAAGAATTGCCCATAAGCAGGTTTAACTGTATAGTACAGGTATATTTTATTACTTCACCAGTTCTTCTTATATAGAAACCTGTTAACACATTCTGATCAAACATTCATGAAATTACATCAAAAGAAATTCAGTTTCATTTATTAGGTTGCTTTTTTCTGCCCTTGAAGTTCTTTTGTATAAACAAGCTCACAAAAATAGCTTACAGCTTCACGTGAAGTATGGTTGATAAACCTACAATAAAACTCTGGAAATTATACTTTGTGTGTGCCCAAGCAATATTCTGATTAGACTTAAAGGTATTTGGAAAATTTTATGAGAGGTACTTACGTTATGTAGGAAACTGTTTTTTTTTTTCTTCTCCCCAAATATGTTGGTCTGCTTGTGTTAATCATTACATTTAAAAGCTTTGTTTTAAGTTTTCCCCCAGTAATGTGCAACAATTTAATAATTTTAATATAATAATTCAGGAAGGTCCTTTACTCTGCCCTGTATTTATCAGAGCTTTTCTTACAAGTCTATAAAGGCTGATGAGTTAGTTTTCTTATGCCTATTGTGTAGTGATCACTACAAGTTGTGTTTGCAAATGAGCACTCAGGTAACTCCATATAATATTTCCAGAGTCAATTACTTCATGGAAATATCTTGAGCAATTGGAAAGTAACAGCTAGTTTTCTCCATTATTGAAGGAAAAATATCTGTATTTTTATAATACAGATCAAATCAACAATGAAGATTATGCATTATTCAAGAAATGACCAGGCATTCTCAGCAGTGTTTCTGCTAAATAACTGATGATTGTAACCTTTAAAGAAATCTCATTGTGGTTACTACTGGTAAATCATTTCTCCATTCATAGTAATCTTTATTTAGAGGTGATCTAGAAACCATTATATCTTTTATTAATCTTAAAAGCAATAGACAATGATTTGACATTTGCTAAAAATGGAAATATTTTCCATCTTCTAATACAGCAGACTTCACTTATTTTTCTTTTGGTATGTTATCTAAGGCTTTCTGTGTATGGGAAGTCTTAGTCCTTGCAAATAAAGAGACATATAACTTATAGAAGATGAGTTTAAAGACAGTTCTTAGAGACCCAGACATGATTCTATATGACAGAAAATAATCAGAAAAGTTATTTAGAGTCAGTAGGAATAAAATTGCCATATTTTGGTAATACATAAAGTATGTACTGTTTTGCAGTACTTCTGTTTCTATCATACCAAAAGTCTTTATTCTGAGTCTGGGGTATGTTCCAACAATATTAAATGAGCAGCTGATCAATATTTTTAACTCAAAGGTGGGTTTTCTGGAAGTTACCTGGGAATAGAGGTATTTTCATAGTATATACTGTGTGTTCAGCCAGTAAGTGGTATTTTACCTGGCATGGCACTTGAAAACATCTGGTGCATTCTGATATTAGGCCCTGTAGTCCTGTTCCAACATAAAAGTCTTGTGAGAACCCTCTTATTTTGGAATAGGGTCTTCAAATGATTGACTTCAAGTTTCTTTGTGTGTGTTTTTACCAAGTCACATTTTTTTTCCTTTTTTTTTTTTTTCTTTTAAGTGAAGAGAGGAAGTTAGGGGAGGAGCGTAAGGCACAGTGGTGTTCTTTGGTGTGTTAAATCTGTTTTGCTGAGGTAAAGTTATGCTGCGTATTTTGTTTCTGGGTACTTCGTGATACTGTTTCTGACTTGGGACCACTGTCACTAAAAAAAAGAAGGCTCATGGGTCTGTCTTGAACAAAGTCACCAGCATTTTTGTTTCTTTTGAAGAAGCAATTAGACACAGTTATCCATGCCTAATTTTGCAAACCCTTGTCCTGGAAATTTGCCATGATGATATCAAAATCATTATTAAATTTTAATTATTTTTTCATTCAAGTGAGGTGTTAATTTCTGTCTTTGGAGATGCAAGTGTTTGTGCAAGGCCGTAATTTCCTGTTGAATTATGTGACATATGGAAACTATAGTGTGTAAGACAACTTTGGGCACATCAAGTTAAAATTTGGTTTGTTATGAGTTTTATTTTTTTAAGCCAGATCTTTACACTTTATGCTACATAAGTAAAATAACCTTACTTTTCTGCTGTAAGAGAAGAGATAATTGTGAGTGTAGCTAAGGAGTGAAAAGGACTTCAGTAAATAGTACTGACTGACTGGTAGATTGCATAAAGAATGTGACTTCTAGTTTAGCCATCTTGGCTTTTAGTGTTTCATGTTCTGCAATTAGGTGGTTTTACATTTGTGTTCTGGAATTAGTATATATCAGTTTGAGAAGAAATCAGATGCTGTCAGAAGTATTTGTGGTGAACTGA